ATCTCCATATGTGAAATTACCTGTTGAAGTAGAACCATGAAAGGAAAAGCTGCATCTATCCAACATTATCCTATCAGATAGTCATGTCAGGCATACGAGCTTTCATTGGATAAAGAATTGCAAGAGAGGCTGAGTTTGGAAAGCTAAGAATTAAAAGGAAGAAAAAAACTAAAAAAAACGTAATAGGACAATTTTTGCCACTATGCAGAATTAGCAGTTTTTACCACCGCAAAGAAACCTGGGTATATACAAATGCCAAAGGAGATAAACATGTGATTTTTTTTTTTAAAAAAAAATTGGTATCCAACCAAAACTGAGAATATTAAAGTCTACTGATATCATTGCAAAAATTAACTTTGGATTAATTTTGGATTAATAATAGTTATGGTCTATGTATAATGTTTAAGTACATAGTCAACGTACAAGCAATTATGGGGATAACAAACTTGGGACTTGGATATGTACCAACAGAATAAAATTCTAAATATAAAACATAAGCCTATCAAACGTTTATACTAATTCAAGCAACTTGCTCTTTCTGAAAGGTGGATATGATGGTGGAAAATAAAACTTCTGTGTCTTTCGTGCTTTCCAGTTGCCAAAATAACGGTTCACATATAAATGTTTAATAATCTTGATTTTGGGTAGCTATTACAGTATATTTGGTACAACTGATTTTTCTATAGGTGAGTGTTGCAACCAAAAATTAGATTTTTTTTTTTTGCGGGGGCGGGGAGTGATGATTTCATTTATTTTAAACAAAATACTTTTTGATGATTTGTTAGACATGGCATCTCAATTTCCTGTTTCACAGTTTAGCTCCATTGCATGGACCAAATGCACTGATCCTATACCTAGCTAGGGCTTGAATCCATTTATAGAAAATAGATGCTATTTACTAAGACATGAAAACTGAAAGAAGTGGTGATGAGATAAAAAAAGATAAATAGACATCTCAATATTAAAGGGGTGCAGCAGTTATAATTTTAAATTGTGCCTAATAAATATCTAATCAAAATACAATGATGGCTAAATTGTTCTTTGCCTGGCTAGGATAAAATAAAATTCAAAAGAGGTTGTCAGAGTTTATAAGCATTAAAGTTCTTTTTCCATGGAAAATGCTTTCTCAAGAACAAAGTTGACATCTTTTGCGAGATGCATCTAGCCTGCTTTATATTTAAATCTGCTAGTGTGGTTCTCAATTAAATCTGAAACATATGACTACCCTTGATATTGTTTATTTTGGAGGACTAATTCATAAATGCAACAGATGTGACTTGTATACAGGAATGAGCTATCACCACAGAAAGAACGTAAAAAGTAATTACTAAAATGATGTTTTGCAATAGAATCAAGTGGCTGTTTGAGCAGCTTTTGTGAAGAGTTGATATGGTGTAGGAATGTCCTGGCACATTTCTGGCATATGGCATATACTCCTCTTGAAAGCCTTCTTTTCATTCCTCAATTCCAGTATCCTTGATAAGGGGAAATATCAGAATGCAATTTTCCTTCCCATTTGTGAAATTGCCTATTTTCTTTTCATGTCCTGCCAGACCCATGAATGAGTTGAAAACATGCAGAGATATTGCCTTGAAGCAGACATTGGAGGTGGGAAATCTTTTCTGGTTTAATTGCTGTTATGATCCTGTGGAGTCCTTGGTGCTCTCTGAGCTGGGTTGTTTGCGTGCAGATGTTTCATTACCCAACTAGGTAACATCATCAGGTCCAGCACTGAGGATGTTACCTAGTCAGGTAATGAAATGTCTGCAAGCAAACAACCAAGCTCAGAGAGCACCAAGGACTCCACAGTTCTGAGCTACAGATATTCTCTTTTGTTATGATCTTATCATTTTGTTCTAGTTCTTTCTCTTTCTTCATGTTTGAGTTCTAGATTAATGTTATGTAAATAATTTTACATCATCTTCCTCCTGGTTTGGCCCTTTCAACCTGACCTTAAATCTTCTCTTCTGGTTTCTGAAAGAGTTTTGGGCAGTTTAAGCATGATGTTTCTGAGCATGTACATTTTTGGTAAATTTCCTCTTAATAGGCAAATAACAGAATTTTGCATAGATTTAAACATGAGGGCAAAAAGCAAGTGGTTATACCTCTTATGATATGTTTGTATCACCAGCAAAACTGTGTTCTGTGTACTTATAAACAAAGGAATATCATGATTCTTCTCAGAAGTGAAAGACTTGTGAAACTTGTGCTGATCACAGAGGACTTGGCAGAATATGTCTATTTTGTGATGTATTTCACTGATGCCTGTTTTTCCATTTCAGGCTGCTAAGAAAAGATTTGCAACAGAAAGGTTGCTTAAGTGGTAGCTTCTCAAGACATGGGGAGAAATGGCATAGCACAGTCAAAGGCACAGGGTGTGGCAGCAGGCCATCCTAGTTACCTTTTGCAACTTAAGCTAAACATTATGTTCCTAATTAGCCATGATAACTATTTCTAGCATTCTCTTCCTTAAAATATGCTATCTACTCCACAGCTACTGTATATTTCAAATAGTAAAATATTAATTTAACTTTTTGAGTTGAATATACTTACAGAGGCCAGGTTTCTAAGCTGATCAGCTTTCTCCAACTTAAATGACAATATGCAGACACTATAAAATGTTTTTTTAAATAAGCCTTACCTAGAAAAAAACCCACTGTTGTTACATTGGACAGAGCACCTGGCTGTTAAACTGACCCTTCTCTTTTTGGGGGGCTGGATTAGTTGGAGAATACTTTGCTCATTGCCCAATCGATCTCCAGGGCTTGTTAGGACATTTATTTAAGCTGTCCCTTCCTTAAAATCAACACTTTTCAAGCTGAGCCTCTGAGTTATATTTTTCCCTGTCACTAGCAAATAGCACTGATAACCGTGTAAAGAATAGTTAAATGATTCTCCTTTGGATTTTGTTTTGTTCTCTTTTTGGATCTGCCTTCTTCATAAAGCCTATATATCCCAGTGAATAAAAATGAGAGACTCATCTTGCCGTCAGTGTGCGATAGAACATGTCCTTCAGTCTCTGTGTTGGGAAAGTTGCCTTTTTCAATTTCTTGGTGCCTGGGAAAGTTGCTTTCAAATTACAACAAAAGTTTGAATCATTGCATGGAGTCACTGGCCCCTCTGAGGGGGCTTTCTCTGTCTTCTTAAGAACAGACCACGCACAGAGCCAGATGGTTCCCGTCTGCTGGCTTTATTCAATGCACTTCCTCCCACAGACGGGAGCCCTTTTGCCCTGCTTCCACCCCTCCTCTTTCAAGCATCCACCATGGAGCCTTTCTGTTCTGTGGCTGGAAATAATCTTTTATTGCCCAGTTGTTCGGAAGTGACCTTTTGCCCTTGATTAGATAGCACCAGGCACTATCAGCGGATTGCTTTTGAGCTGGCAGTTTCTTTTTGTCTTTTCTGATCCGGTGTCAGGGAGAACAATGCAAAGGTTTGCAAAAATTTTTAGTTCAACTAAGGCCCCATATGAGATAGCAAGAGGTGGAGAAAGATACTTGTATATTGTAGATCAGTCTTTGCAGACTCTGGAGGGGTGTGTGTGTGTGTGTGTGTGTGTTAAAGGAAAGTGTATTACAATATAAAATAATCAATTCTGGCAGGAAACTGCTTGTTAGTTTCACTTCATCTTTTCCACTCTTTAGTTGGGATAAATAACAATGAAGTGAAAAAGATAAGACTACCCACCAGTCAGTCAGTGTTCTTTAGATTCTTGTTTTATATAAATATATATATATATCATTGGTCTTTAATACAACTTTGATTTTACACATACAAGAACCTTTGCTGTATTAGATATTCAAGCTCCCATCTGATATACTGTATGGACAATCATTCAGCATACAGAACAGCCTTGGGTAATCTACAACTATAATAGTTGAAGACACATTACTAGACAGTTACAATTTTGATATTTTTTATGTTGAAATGTCAGTATGGAATACAGAATATTCTAGAATACTTGGCCCATGTTCTGAATAACCAAAATCAAAACCAATAGAATGTTGAGGTGCAGGGATGTCAGTGCATCTTCAGATCTTGTACTTGAGGAGAACAGCATATCCATCTATTCTGTGTATCAAATGAGTACAACCACCCACTCACCCTTGTACCTTTTATCAACTGATATTTTTAGATTCCTAAGCAGTTCTAGTCACTTAGGCAATCTTGATATTCTTAGTCTCAAATCTTTACTTGATTGTTAATTATATGAAATGTCAACAACATAAACATTTACAAGTATAACTGTACTTCTGTGTTCTGTATCCCCTTCTTTACACCCTTATCTGATCCTAGCCAATAGCCTCTTTTCACACATTGAGTAGTTTCTTACAAAAATAAAATATTATTTCCTCTTCCTCTCAAATGCACACATCAGCAATACTTAAGCACAAATTTACTCAAAGAATTGGGTACCTACAGAAAGCAGTTTAAGTGCAGAGAGCTGCCTCTTTCCTTCCACCTGAGTTTCAGGCAGCATTGATCATTCTGCTACTATACCAAAAGTAAAAGTTGAATATTAACAACTTAAATTGTAGTCTAATTTATGAATCAGATTTAAAATTGAATAAATATAACATGGGTCAAGCTAAACAAAAAGTATTTTTTGTTTACTACATGTACAAACTATTGGCAGACATCCCCACTTTTGCAGAGACAACTGATTTTTAAAATTTTTTTGCTGGAAACTTTCCTTTTGATACTTCAGAAGAAGTTGTTAATCAGGTTAATAAATATATGTGATCTCAGTAGTGGCAATTTTAAATCTTCTTTGAAGTATGAAAATGTCCCACATATTGTAGTAAAATTATCTGTTATGAACATCTGCACAGTAGGTTAAACCCTTCCAAATCTTGGTTATACTGTAGAGGTATGTCAAATTATCTATTCCTTTGGCAATAAATACATATTAAGAGAAAACTGATTTAGAATAAGTGGAATGCGAGCATTGACAGTATGTTGAAGGTAGCCATGTACTGGTACAATTAAGGCATGGTTTATTACATTTCTTAAGACCATCAAGATGGAAAAAGCTTTTGATCTTACTATATAAAGTACAATTTGAATTTAATAATTGTTATCTTTTAAATGTTTGTGCACTTAAATGGTACACATTTCTTTCCAACATTGTGTTTTCCTAGAGTTTTCTTGTTAAAATTTCATGTACTGATGTTTAATTCATATCACAAATGTTTGCCTTTCATCTTGATAGACAAGGTCCTCAAATTAAAGTAGGAAAGTATTTTTCCTCCTTTCTCATTTCATTGATATAGCTAGAGTAAGCGACTGTTGCATTTATGCCAGCAGTATTCAATCTTCCTGGGATCAATCTTTCACAGAATCTGCACGTGGAATTTGCCTCTGCCGATTTACATTATATACAGTCCTTTGAAGAATACTTATTCTGCTTAAAATGAAACATTTAAATTCTTTAGTACTAACAATATCCATAGCATAATCTTAAAAACTGTATTATCTTAAAAATAAAAATAGTAGCTTCTTCATAGTTGTTTTTATTTAGTGCAAGAGCAACTAAAATTACCCAGTGGGCAGGCACATTTTTAAAGCATTTTTTTTTAGCCTCCAAAGGCTGCAGATAGCAGGGTGGCACACGCTCATCTTTTAGCAGCGGCATTATTTGAAATGGATAGGTTTTTTTTTTTACTAAGAATATGTCCCCTTCTTTGGGAACCCCCCCCATTTCAGCTATGAAATTTGGGAAGTAATACAGTGGCTCTAAGCATGTATAGAATGCCAACAGTTCTTCTTCTTCTATTCTATCTTCTCTATTTAGCTTGGCTAGAAGGTGTGATAACTCAAGATTTAAGCCTCGGTCTTTTTCAAACAGGAAATGCTTCATCTGGATTTCTTAGATTATTTTTAAACATATATGCATAATCAATCCCATGACAGAATTCGCAGATGATAGTAAGGCATCACAGATGATGGTAAGATTGTTTATTTGATTTTGGCATAGTGGTGTGTGTGAACCCAGTAAAGTGTCACTAAGTCACTAATGATGATTAAATATACTATGGCTTAGTACAATATATAGATAAAATCATTCTGTTATATCTCATTCTATTTTTTCCATCTCCGCACTATTCATGCCTCCATTCCTGCTTTGCTTTATGGAGAAAATCAGAGGCATTAGCACCTTCTATCCTGGTCAGTCAATCACATGAAAAAGAAAGCTATTTATCATAGTAAAAAAATGATAATAAATGTATCATAGTAAATGCCAATGATGAGCTGAAGCCTCTAGCTTACTAAATAGTTGCATTAGCATTATGGAAAGTTACTATTCAGTTATGATAGGTATCTATAATTTTTTACTGACTCAAAATTGAGATTCTCATTGTCCAAAATTGCCATTATTATAATACTGAAGGCTGGATCTTCCTGTTTCAGCCCAGTACTACTGGAAGCTGTTGTCTGCACTAATAAAAACTCTGATCAAGTCTTTAGTGTTGTAATAATGACAGTGATACCTCTCATCATATATTGAGTGCCTCACCTACCAATGGATATGTGCTAGAACTAAAAAGGAGAAGCAGTAAGAGAGGATCTGTTTTCTTGCAAGGCTTTGATATTCTAAGAGCCCCCTTTTATACAAAGTCAGGCAATCCTACCCTTTGGCAGCCTTGGATTTTCAGCGAAGTCAACACCTTCACAAGATTAACATATATTAGCCATCATGTTTCAATATTTTCCTTTTTCTGTATGCACGGCTATTAGATCCACGTGGAAAAAATGCCATGCATATCAAAAGGCCTATTTGCATGAGAATTTCCAGTGGAAATGTCCTGTGACCTTTTCCTTGTCTGGGGTGGTTAATCCTATTTGAAATTCCTGCCATGCTCCTATAGAAGGTCAGTGCACTTGGGAATCAAGCTGCACCTGTTGCAGGGCCTTAGTCTGCCTACAAAAAATGAGAGAATACACAATCATTTCAGAGGAAACAAGAGCACTAGGTAACTTTCTGTTGAAAAGGCTTGAAGAAATAGTGGCATATTTAAAAGAAAACAGAATTAAAAAGAGCAACTTCACTCATCTCACATGGTTACAATGAATAATGGGTAGTATAATGATCAATTATTAATTTGTATTCCACCTTTATGAGCAAGGAAAATATTTGGGATTTGAGGTAAACCACAATTGTCTTTCTTGACAGACAGATTGAAGTGTTGATTTATATGGCTGTGCTTGTTTCCTTCAACCATGTATCTCAAAACTGATATCCTAATCGCATGTTCAACAGTATGGTTCATACACACACACATGCATGCATGCACTGCATTTCCTCAGGTGTGTTGTTCTGTATTATCTATATTGTAGATAGAATCAACTGAAAATAAATGGCATGTTAACTAAAGCAACAATAACAGTAAAAATGAAGCAGCAGCAGCAACAACAGCAATAATAATGAAGTGATACCAGTGGCTTCCTCTCAGACAAACCATAAAGACTTCTGAGGGACTTGATTCAATTCAAGGGAAAGGAAAAGGGGAAAGTGACCTTAGTGATTGCAGCAATAGGTGAATTGTGGTGGTGTTAAGAAATAAAAACCTATACCATGAAACATCCTGAGGCAAAGCTGTTTCCCTCATGCATTGCTTCAGCTAAAAGTGTTGCTTTCTCCTTTTGTTTATGGAGAGGAGATTTACAGCTAGCTTTATCAACAGGCAGAAGCTATTATACAGTAACATTTAGAGGTACATAAAAAAAGCATTTTTAGAAACATGAAGGAAGTTAACAACTTCAGTGCCCATTTGGCTGATGAGAAGAAAAGATGAAATCCAAGAATGACCTATATTTCCATTTCTTCAAAAATGAAGAGTGAGCATTTTTTTCCCCTGAAGAGAGATGTTTTCTTCTCTCCACCATGGAGAAGGGTGTGCTTTTCCACAGTCTGTTTCCAGAACCCATGAGTGCAGAGGATTAAGTCTGGCAAGAGCAAGCAGTCTTCTGTAAGGAACAGAAAGAACATCACATAAATACTTAGGAATAGAAAAATGCCTTTTCCAAAGGCCGATGTTACAGTTAGGAGAAATTCTTTCATCCTTTGCTGCTTTCTCTAATTAACTGATTCAGCAATTATAGGGTTGGAGATAACAGCAGAGGCTCATTTGAAGCTTGCTGTGGAAATGTAGGACATGCCTTGTTTGGGCTTTTTGATGGATAAAGAGTTACACTGTGTATTTTATGTATACTGTTCTATGTTCTGTACCCCACCATGTAAAAGAGAATGTAGAAATCCAAGAAGAGTTTTGCTGATCTGTCAAGACCTGTTCAGTGAATCATTATGTTCCCACAGAGTTCACACAGATGTACATGACAAGCCATAAGCAGGACATTAACACAAAGAACACCTCTCACATTCTCTAGAAATTGTATTGTGAGGCATATTACCTTCAATATTGGAGGTACAAATATAGCTATCATGATAAATAGTAACCACTGATAGCTTATCCTCTGTGAATTTGTCTACTCTCCTTTTAAAGCTCTCTGGTATATAGACAGCTTGTGGAATGAATGGGCTTTGTCTGCTGAAAGCAGCGATCTACTTATTGGCACTGATATCATTTGGAAATAGTGCTATAGGATGTTGCTGGAGTTTTGTTGAACGAAGTGGTAGAGAATGGGAATGACTTGGATGACTGTGTTCATATGTATATACATGTGTGCATAAAAAACAAACAAACCTGCAACTTACATACTGTGTGATTTTCTCACCATAAACATTGCATGGTTAATACTTTTGCTTTCTGACATTTATCTAGCACTTAATTAGGCAAATGATGTATTCATTAGCTCATTTGAGATGAAATTTAATTATTTGGAAAAATATATGGATGCAGAAGCTAAACTATAAAATCATGAGAGTAAAAATGTTACATCCAAATGCAGTTTTAGAAAAAGCGGAATAATTGTTTTTTGATTTGAAATGATGCTTTTGAGAGGTTCCATATGAGGGGTGCACTTTCTAGCTGGCATGTACTGGGAGAACTGCAAATGATTCTCTGATTCCCACAGAGGAGCTTTAGCCTCTACATAAAAGGATCTTGAAAAAATATTTTTTTTTCAACATCACAAATGTATATAAAATGCTTGACTCATTTTATGTGAATGTGTTCCTCATTACCTAGAATACTTTTGATGTATTTATAGAAAACAATAACAAAATTTACCCCATTGTGTTCTGAGAAATAACTTTAGTGCAGAGATTGTTAAAAAGGGAAAGTGAGGGAAAAACAAAAATCAGTTCTATTACATTTTTTTCAATTAGCTTGAAGTACCAGTAACTCAGAAAGCTATATAATCTTTGCAACAGTGTACTCTTCCACCTGTATTTTAAAGATAAACAAAAATGAATACCTTGAAAAAGTGTGTGCATGGAGGAAGGAGACTGTACAAAATCTGGTTGGAATTGATTTGAATGTATGGGGGTGGGCAGCAGCATTCAGACTTTGAAACTGTTTGTGTATGATTGAAAATTGTTCCAGAAGATAACAATTGTTGTATAATGTTTTGTTTTTTGCAAGCTTGAGCATTTCTTCCGGGTCTAAGTCCTGTTGGATAAGACCCAATCTGAATATCTTTCATCACTTATACTGTGTTAAAAGTCCACACATTTTATCTAAACCAATGACAAATCTCTCCTTTTCTCAAATACACGTCTACAGTAACATGACAAACTTTCCTTGCACATATAATAGTTTAAAATAAAGAAGCATAACTGTTATGGTACCAAGAGAAAAAAATATTGCTTACCTGCATCGTATAATGTGGAAAATCAACTTTATGAAAAAAGGGACTGCAATGAAAATAATGAGAGCGCAGTTAATACCAAAACTTGTCTTAGTTCAAAAACAGTGGCAGGATGATAATTAAACATTCGAAGTTCTGTCAGAGATCAAAGACTATATCTCCTATACTACAGCTTGGATTGTGATCTTCCCAATGTGGAGTAGCATAGTCCTTTCTAGGCCTTTAGTTAATACAGATGTCATTTATCCTTTCATAATGTCTCTGAGAACTGTGATAGCAATTTTATGGTATTTGTGAGGTTATACTTTGTGTCACGGGTGCTACTCAGAGAGTTGATGGTCAACTAGATAGAAAAACAACTGACTACATGTGCTCTGTGCCTTTTCAGTGTATGGTTTTAAAACATCATATTTAACATAACTTCAGTCCTCCCAGACTAATAATGCTTCTAATGACTCCTAGTACTTCGTAACAACCATATTAATGCTTGCAAAAAACACCAAAATCAGGCCTGCTGGGTGCAGTAACCTTGCAAAGGCCAGCCGACAAAGCTAGGACACTGCGCTAGCCTAGTGAGTCATTACAGCAGCTTGTAAATTGGTTGCTGCTGGCTATGGGTTGAAAAGTTAGACATTGGAGGTGCTGTGGAGTACATGGTCTCATTAGCATTTCAATGAGACCTGCTTGTTGACTCTGTGCCCAGCACTTGGGCAGCTCCCATCAGAATCTTTCTTTGTTGGTTTTAGCTCCGGTCAAGTCCACTTGCTGCAAGAGGGGAGTCAGGCACATTTAGTTTGTTTAGTCAGGCAGAACGCTCAACAGGAAGGAAGGAAGGGAGGAAAGAGGAAAGGGATTCTCGGGCCTTGCCATTGTCTGGGCAACAGGACTGAAGCAGCCGCAATCATTTCTAGTCTGTAAGGTGCACTTCAATCCCTTACAAATCCTCTCAGTGTGGAGCAAGACAGCCCAGACAGGGACAGATGGTGCAACCCCCTCAGTCTTTTCTTGCTTTGATTTTTGTTTTGAAGTAAAGAAAGTGGGGTATTCTGCTTCCTTTCTCAGTGATATCACTAAGAAAGAGAGAATATCTCACTATTTCTAGGTAGCTTGTTCTTTAGAGTGCATTCTTGCCAGGTGGCACCTTTTAAGATGACTTCTGGAAATTGGCCTGTGACAAATTCTTGGTTTTTCTCTCCAGCAGGCCACTGTTGTAACCATTGCATAAGAAGTTACTGAAGCTTTGTGAAATATCATAATGATGTTATCCAGCTACCGTTATCTACTAAATTCCATCTGTCAGAGGAATCATTTTAGGCTGGTCCACTATGGTTCATTATAATAATTTCCCAGGGCATTGGGATAGTATTATCCTCTTTTATTGATCAGATTATATTTTATTTCCTTGTGTCCATATTTTTCCTTCCAACAAGGATAAGCCAGTCAACTAAAGAGACTCAGAACAGAAACAGAATTCTATGAATGGTCCAAAGTTCTTCAAGTTTTAATTTGGGGTGTGTGTGTATGGGGGAGTAATGATAATTTGTCATCTGCTGTGATGGTCACTGTACTTTTGCCTTCCTTATGCACTTTTCATGTTCACTACCTCTGAACACCGTATGCATGCATATAGATGTTTTGAACAATTAAACAAACACTTTAAAACACATTGATAGTCTGGAATTTCAAAATACCAAAACATCATTTTAGAACTGTATTTTTATTTTTAGTTTTCAGACCAGTATAGAAGGAACATTTATGTGGTGTATATACAGAGATGAGTAATGACTATCTATACCAAAGGGTGATCTAAAAGTGTCTGAAATGAGCTTGATTTCTGGTAAACTTCATAGACATGTCCAAACAGTTTTCTTGGCAAGAGTGCATAGGCAGTTTTTCATTGCTTCTTTCCAGGATATTTTTTCAGCTCCCAAGCCTGACCTATAGTCCTAATATTCATAGTAGTCTTCCATCCAATTATTAACATGGCCAGACCTTGCTTAACATCTGATTTGGTTAGCCAGATGCTGCCATCTGCTGAGGGAGGGAAGGAGGGAGAGAGAGAGGGAGGGAGGGAGGGAGAGATAGAGAGAGAGAGAGAGAGAGAGAGAGAGAGAGAGGGCACCAGTCTGATGTAATGGTAAAAGCCTCAGGCTAGGCTTCTAATCCTGCCTTTGGCATGAAGCCTGCTGGGTGACTTTAGGCCAGTCACTCTCTCTTTGCCCTAGGAAGAAAGGAATAGCATATCGTTTCTGAAAATGTTGCAAAAAAAACATTTCTCCAGGCAGTCACCAACTATCAGGACTGACTCTAGGGTACAAAAATACACACATATACCCATACAGTATGTTAACTGATTCTGAGGAAGTGAGAGATACATGAATCAATTGTCAAATTTTGAACAGTTAATGTCTACAAACATTAATCTCTAGGGACACTTTTTAAAAACTAATCTGCCTTCATTAACTTCAAATCTTTTCAAATGTTTTGTTGCAGGACAAGTCCATTCTGTTATGATCCACCTGCTGGTATAGATAGGATATGAAGAATTTCTTGTCATAAACTTGTACTACAAATGAATTCTGTAAATATTATGTTGCAGGCAAGCAACAAAAAGTAGGGAAAAATAATGTTAGAGTTCATGCAATGCATGAAGCCAAAATCAGCTACATTCCACAATAGTGAGATGCATGAGCTTAGTGATAGTTGTTTATTGACAATGGTTGGTAGTTTAATATGATGTATAACCCAGCCAATTGTGGCTTATTCAACAAATCATGGTTAATCAAATCAAATCATGGGTTAATGCAATCTATAAAGATCAACCTTTAAACTCAGGCTTGTACTTCTTCCTTCCAAAAATCTATGCTTGTTTTACCTTATCATTGGCAACACAACTGAATAAGGACATAATTACATAGTTAATTAATGTATTAAGAAATGTATGAAGAAAGAAGTCCACCCCCCCCTTCCTACTTACCTTTTCTGGACTAATTAAAAAACAGTCCAGATTATGTCCGGAGTCTCATCTAAGCATTCAAATCATTATAGATTTTTTTTTAAAATACAAATATATTTTTTATTCAAAAATATATATGAGAGAAGACATAGGACCTATAAATTATAGGTATAGAAGGTATAGGTATAGAAGTGGTTGTTTTAACAAGAACTGGAAGTCATTTGCCATTCCTTAGAGAATGCACTGTAGGTTGTTTAAGAAAAAAAAAATCTTTTTATGTCAAACCATTTGAATGCATCCTGGTTGCAATCTGAAATGGGCTTAGTGAATTGTCAACAAATGGCCCATTTTCCCACTTCTTGTTTAATGCACTTAACCATGCCCATGCTTAGACTCAATGTCAAAGAACTATTAGCAAATAGATAGAAAATAGAGATCAAGACTAGTTCTGTCCAACCTTAAGTTTCAACCAGATACGAAGAGAGGTGTTAACTGAAAGTACAATTTAGAATCAAAATTACTGAAAGGAAAGTATAATATTGAGCTATAAGATTAATAATTTGGTTTTATATGCAAAATTCTATTAGGCAACTACTTTGCTTCTTCTCCAGGCCTAATATAGAATGTAGTAAAAGTCAAACTTGTCTTTCAAGCAGTCCATCATTATGTTGTTGTAGAAATTAACCAGATATTTTGTACTTCAGATTTAAAATATACCGAGAATGTATCTTGTGTATTAGGCTAATTTTGCTGGGGAAGAAAGCATGTGAGGCTTTGAGTTTCTTTGAGTTTCATTTTCCCCAACACAATCTTCATCAGGATCACTGAAGAGGGAATTATGAGAGTAACCCTCTTTCCTCATACCCAGCAACAGAGAATAAAATCATGGTACCCCCATTTTTAATAGCAGTAGGAAAACAGCTATCTTGCCTACATCAAAACTGTTGGGAGAGAGAGAGACTTTGCATATCTGTGTACAGCTACTGTAAGTGTGTAGACCTCAGTCTGTCATCTGGCATGACACAAAACCCCTGGGATGCAGAAAAAGTGTGCCACTTTATTTGAAGATAAAGCTGTGTCTTCTGTTGTTGCTTTCATTGGACTATTAGATGTCTGAAGGATTTTTGCAAATTTCTACCACAGCCTTTCATTTGATGTAGTTCATGTATATATCAAAGGTCCATAAAAGTGTATTTTTATAATTAATATGACCAGTGATACATAATGTACAGCAGATCAATAGATTAAAAGTGGGTCACATAGTGTCTACAGTCAGAAATCCTGACCTCTGACCTTGTATGCATGTAGGTTTCCGCAATATCAGGGAAAAAAAAGACTGTACACATACACAGGATGTACAAATGTGAACTTTGTGCACATATATAGAAGCTGGGAACAGGCACTATGTGAACAACTGTTTCTCAACCACATACTTTACAAATAGGTGAAATAGGTCAAAGTAGCTAAGAATAGCCACTAAAAATAGGACTGTATTCTTGTTTGAATTATATTTTGATGGCCTAGTAAAAGAATTAAACTTCTTCTACTATGTGAGATAATATTCTTTATGAATTTTTATGGATTTTAACTTATGGAATTGTGAATGAAGGAATTTTCCAGACTTTCTCAATATTTGCAGTTAGGTCTCTTCTACTAATTTTTGCCCAGCATCACAGCCATTAACCATGAGCACAATGTGGTACTTTTTCATTATGCAGAACAGCAAAGTTGCCATTTACATTTTGTCTATAAAAGTGATCAGAAACAAGTATGCCTAAATATTATGACTGTGCAGTACTCTGGATTCAAAAATAAAAAGATGCTTTGGGAAGCATATACAAGTGTGCATACAACACCAGTCTGTAGCTCCTTAAACAAAACACAAGTTTTCCAGAATAGTGCTGCAGCTGCAGAGAACATACCATATGTTTCTGGAAAAAAGCACAGCCGCTTTAAGAAGCTGCAGAAAGGTGCTATGTCGGGACCTCTGTACAGTCCTGAATACCTTGTTTTTGAATCCAAAATGCTGCTAATAAATGCAATTTTGTATAACTAGCTGGTCATATTGGAAGCTTCTTCAAATATTACTT